AATGACGAAATGTTATTCAACGCTTTTTTTTTGCCGAATTACGACATTACTCAAATGCTCCATTAGGTGACTAGTTTCGCCATAGTTTCAAATCTCGTAGCACATTATAAATTTAACTCAAACCATCTGCGGACAATTTTCAAGTTCTTATTTTCATAATTATAAATGTTTTTTTTTAACAAAATTTGCATTTGGTTGGTATTTGACGAAAACCCCAAAAATTGAAAATTACACCTTTCATGAATTTGGCGGCTCTTGTGAATGCAGAAGCCGCAATTTTTCGTCTTCATAGCTTCTTCCCTCATTTTTCGTTTGTATTCTCAATGAAATAAAAAATGAATCAATTGACGTCGACGAACGACAAGTCCAAAGAGCGACTATGGGGACCTATTTGATTGTTGTTTTTTTTTTGCTCGTTTCCTCTCTTCAATTCGCAAATCTCCTATTTAATTAATGGATTAGAAGAGCCATCGGAATCCGTGCAGCAAAACCGCAATCGTGTTAAACAAAAAAAAAAATAATGATGATACATTCAGGTTTTGTTCATTTAATCCGGTTTTCAATTCATTTCCCTGCTTTTTTTTCTCATCGAAATCCCTTGGAAGCAAGTAATTATTGGTGAAAACTCGCCGAGTGCACCATCTCATTTATTTTCCGCCATTCGCTAATTATGTGTCTATTATTTATTTATATATTTCGTTGCTGAAGCGACGTCAGAAAACGCGTTTGATTAGCATATTTTTCTATTTTTTTTCCTTTGTTTTGTTTTTCTTTTCTTCTCATCAAAATGATGCACTTTTTGTGTTATAACGAGCAATTTTGAGATTCGAAATGACGAAAAAAAATTAGTGTGGCTCCGCATTTTTTCTGCGATCTCGAGAAACTGTCTGATGCGCCTTTAAAAGTGAGACGGCAATTTTTAAAACATTTGGTTTTTTTTTCAAGTCAAGGCAAATGTCATTCTCATCTGGACGTATAATAGCTGTGTTGGCTGAGTCGGAATATTGAGCTTCTCCCCATTTTCAAAAGCTTCGGCTCATTTTATTTCAAGTTTTACTCTTGATGTGAGAGAAAAAACGGATAGGTTTGAACTTTGAGCGAAACTCGGGGCGGAGTTTCGTGTGCCGCACCGCACAAAACGCGTTTTACCATTCTTCAAGCTCGACGACAACTCGATTCACTTCCTTCATCGATTCTTGAATATCTGACGAATTCAACCGGTAAGCCTTGTTGATTGCGTTTCGCGTGAAACTCGACATTCGAATGCGGCGAATCGCGAGATGTTTCCGGTGGCGAATGTCGTCGATGTCTCATAAGCCTAGCCCACATTTTTCTCCCAATTCCCACGTATTTGAAAGCCAAAAGCCGTTTTTTTTTCGGCTTTTTTCCTGCACTGCGGTGAGAATTTGTGACGAATATATTTCAAAAAAAAAAAGAATAGAAAAGAATATCATATTAATAGATTATAATCCAACAGTTGGGAGGGAATATGAAACGAATAGAAATAAAATCCAAACGAATTGTTTATTTACAATGATCTCAGTGGTCTTCTGCGAAAGAATAAATCCAAAACTGGCAATCTATTGAAGGAATTTTGAATTAATCGACAAAAAGAAAATATTCAATTTAATCGCGCAGACAGACTTGCAGCATGAGTTTATTACTTTCCCATGTTGTTCATTTCAATTTCCCATCAAATTCCCATTTCGGAATTTCCTTTTTTTTATTTCATCCAAAAAAAAAATTGATTGTTCAAACTATTTTGAAATTGTTGATAATATTAGTTTTACACGCAAATTCTGTGTGGAAAAAAATCTCAAAAACGCCGAATAAATGAAATATGATATCGCATTCTCGTATACATATTTATTTATTTCCAAACATCATTCATTCTTTGATATTCGTTGCGGCCCCACGAAAAGCCTCCTAATAGGCATTAGTTGGGCGCTCAATAAACATCGAGTCAAGACCGAATCAAATCCATTCGAGGAAACTGTTCGACGTCACGAGAAGCATTGCACTTATCAGGTTTCATGGTGCACTTGGCTGATTTCGGTGATTGAACGTGTCGATGCGATGTGCAAATCGGAGAGTTCGCCTCGTCATTGCTTCTATTTCGGTTTAATCTTTTGCATCTTCTCATCAAATTTTTTACCCATCTATATTTAGAGCTGGCGCTTCCAATTCGATCGGGCGCACGTTTCATTTTAATGAACAGAAATCGTTTTCGGCTTTCACATCCTCCTTCTTCTCAATTTCGCGTCCAGCTTCTTCTCCATCTTCTCGAGCTTCTCATATTCAGGCATTTATAAAATGGCGCACGTCGTCGACGACGACGGGTGCGAGCGCTTCTGTTTCTGCTGCTCTCGTTGAGCCACGCACCCACTTGCTCTTTTTCAGCACTCTGAGCCGAAGGCAAAAAGGCCTGGAGACGATGGAAGGAATGCCGCAAAAAAAAAGCGCAACATCGGGGTTGGACGAGAGCGGCTCGGCGCTCTCCCAACGCACACACACACACAGACACAGCAACATTATCATCACGAGAAATAATACGGATGGTGTGGAGAAGCCGAGAGCCGAGAGAAGCTGAAACACGGAAAAAAAACACGCATGCACACATTGCGAACCGAAACCTCAACAGCTTCTTCTCCGCACTTCTCCTAAGCTCCGCCCACATTCTGAAAGTGATTGCAGTTGAAAAATATTCGGATTAACGATTAAAATCGGCGATTAGTGAATGTTCTTTATGTTTCGCTTTTCATCATCTTCTTCTTTCTTCTTCTTCTTCTTCTTATGTCATCGGTGTCTATTTCCCGACAGATAACAATCTACCATTTTTTTTCAATTTTTTCGAGACTTTTGTATGAGTGTGTGTTTCGCTGAATCGACCGTATCGCACATTGAGGTGTTCGACGGCACTTTTCATTGTTTCACAAGTTTCCCGCGTATCCATGGCGACTTTTTTCCTGTCATATATTGGTGCCGTCCTTCTCTTTTCATTCTTTTTTCGTTATTTTCACTTCCTCAGGAAACTCGTTCTCCTATAATAGAGCACATTTATGAATGCCAAGGAGTTCTCTCTCTCTCTCTCTCTCTCTCTCTCTCTCTCTCTCTTTCTCTCTCTTTCTCTCTCTTTCTCTCTCTTTGTCTCTCCTCTTTGCTCTTCCGATTTACACCTTCCTACCTACCTGACTGCATGCTCTGCTTTTTTTTAGGATATTGAACAATTGTCATTCATAAGTGCTCCCCGTGTTTTATTTTTTTGGCAACTTGGACGATGTGTAGGCGGTCTCCTCAAGCTCCGCCCCTTTTCCATCTCCTCCCTACGCCGCAAAATGGGCGGTCGCATTCGAGTTGAGATATTTTTTTTTCGATCACAATTTCGTCCTTAACCCGTTGTTGTTTTCCACACCCAATTAACTACAGTACTACACGCCAATAATATGAAATCGCTTGGGGCATAATTAACAATGCCCTTCTACTTTTGCCAAATACTCCGAAATTCGGTTTCGTATTATAGGTTGAAAATCACATAATCTCCTAATATGGTGATTAGAATAAGACTACACATATTTTTCAATGACAAATCTGGAAAAAAATGACGGATTACGAGATGCTCGCGTCACTTCTCAAGTTCACAAATTATTAAATTCCAATCAGAAACACAAAAACCAAATATTTTTGAAAAATGAGTTTGCGAGCGTCGAAATCGAGAATTCAATTAGACATTTCGAAAATTCAATGAAAATTGCAGTCGAGATTCATTTTTGGATAAATTGAATCTCGTCAGTTTCTTTTTTTTTCAATCTCGTTCAAATAGCAAACATTTCCAGGGAAAAATGCCGATTTGCGTCATTTGCGTATAAAAGTACAAAAATTGTATATTTATGAGTTGGTTTCTTCTTAAATAGACCAGCTTGTAATTCTAATACCCAAATTAGGTTAGACAAAAAATAGCTTCTGAAAAATTGTGTTCAAATTAGGGAAAAACGGATTCTCGTTGTTTTTGATGTTCAGATGTTTCGACTATAAATTTCAAGACCTTTATGGTCTTCGTCGTTTTTATCTATTGATATCAATTCGACTGGTTTCATCTCCTCGTTTTTTTTTCTTATTTTCCTTCTTCTGTGTGTACTCGTGTCGGTGAAATATGTCCAAGGGTTCAACACCAATATCAAAGCAGCCGCTCTTCGTTTTTATCGAGGAGATTACTTCAACCACCGTGATTCGTGATGATATCATGATTCGATGCCGAAATACGGTGTGGCCAGGCTCCTTTGCGCAATACCCAAAAACATAGAAGTCGTCAACGTCAATCGACAGGTGAAGTTTGGTTGGTCTGATTCATGCTTGAAAAAAAAACGACCACAGAGCTCCAGTTGTGCAATCAACACCGGCGTGCGCGCCCCCTAATTTTTTTTGTCATCGTCACCGTTAGTTTCGGACGATTCGTGTTTGACCAGCCGAGAGAGCCAGTTGGTTTTTCGCGCGCACACACACCAACACACTCAATTCCAAATAATGATGACCATTACTATACCCAGCGGTTGATCAATATGGCGAATCATACAGGCAATCAGGCAGCCTTCGACGTCTCCTTTGATAAAAACGAAGCACGAGTGCGGAAAAGCGAGGGGGAGAAAGAGAGTGATTTGATAAAATACACATATGTATGTAATAACATAAGGATGATGACCATGATATTGCGCGTACCGCCCCAATTAAGGTATCCTCATTTCCAGCCCTTTGATGGTTTTTTTTTTTGCTTCTTCTGCTGCTGCTGCTGCTGCTGCTGGCTGCCTGTAGACCGTGTGTGTCACAAAAATATGTGTCATATGTTCTTCTTCTTCTTCGTCGTCTTCTGACAATACGATTTCGGCGTTTCAATATTTCGCCTTATTTTCTTTTTTGATTTTGTGCGTATGTGTGTTGCTTGCGTCCTCCTATTTTTTTCTTCGTGTTATGTTTTTTTTTTCATCCGCGCCGTCTTTCGTTCTCGTATGATGTCGTCGTCGTCGCCGTCGCCGCCGTCGTCGTCGGCATCCTCGGCCAGTGGCCTGCCTGAGCGAGGGGATCGAGATGGAGAGCGTGAAAGTGAGCACGCGGTTTCAAGAGTGTGCCATACTAGTGGGACACGAGAAGAAGAAGAAGAAGAAAAAAAACTCTTCTTTCTGCTCCCGAAGCAAAACGGCAAGCAAAAAAGAAATGTTCGTCCATCTCCGATGTCTCTGCTTCTCTCGACGCCTCTCGTGTGCCGATATTTTTCATCGCATTTTTGCTTATCACCATCCCATCACCTATCGATTTTCAATGTGTTTCTAAATTTTGCATCGCCAATCACCCGAAATAGACACACGTTTCTACCCCCCGTATTTCCCCCATTTTTGTCCGTATCATATGACCCCATTTTGTTACGCTCTTCTTCGACGGTTTTTTTTTTTGTTTTTTTTTTTCTCGCTTTTCGTTTTCTTTTCAAATCGTCATACCGTAACCTATTCTTTCTTTTCTTCCTTATTATTATTATTGTTTTTGGTTTTTTTGTAGGCAAAATTCGAGGATCCAACAATCGCTACGTGACGACTGCCATGGGTCGCAAGAAAATTCAAATCACCCGGATACAAGATGAGCGCAACCGACAGGTATGTGATGTTCGAAGTTCTCGAAAATCGGCATCCCCTCCCTCTCACACGTGATCATCATGGGACCCTGCGCGAACCAGTTGGTTGTGTGTCCCTTCTCACTTGACAAATGAGACGAGTAGGAATTAATCTGTGAAATGCCTCCCCCCACCCCTTTATATGATACTACTACAAAACACATTTATCTTCGCCTGTCAGTTGCCTTCAAATTTTCACGTTTTTTTTCTACACTTTGTCTAGAAAACGTTTATGATGGCGACGGGAGGGAAGACAAAAAAATAATCTGAAAAAATTATTCATGTCGGGGTTGAACCTTGAAATGTTCGCGGTAGTCGCTGCGTCGTGTTCAACGTGATGCGAATCGGTTGAATAAACACTAGAAAACACACAAGCTCAAACAGTTTGCTCCTCAACTTTTATTTGTTCGTGTATTTTTTTTTTCGGAAAAGTTGGAATTTGCGCTTCTTGAAACCTGCTATTTCCTGCAAAACAAAAACTTGATGACTAATTTGCGCGAACGCATAATGCACTTTGATAAGAAATTGAGATGGAAGCACTTTTTCCGACCAAAAACCGAATTCGTCGGGACAATTCGGAAAAATAATAGAGCGCACGCAAACATTTTTTATTTTATTTATTTCCATTCCATATTTGGTATGAGGAAAAAAGCAGCTGATGTTAAAATAAAATTTGGAAACCTACAGTAGTTCGACGCAAATTAGCTTGCATTATCTGATGCGCCTTTAAATGCTACGGTAATTTTTAGAAACTATTTTCGATTTTTCTTCACTAATGCGTTTTCTTTTGCATGTTGTTATTTTTCAATGAATTCATTTGTCTGGACCCTTAATTTTTTTGTAAATTTTCAATGAGAACTCAATTCGTTATTCGTGTCCTCCTATCATCATCAATTATTCCATTTATATCACCCCTTTCGCATACAGACACACTCATATGTTTCATGGTAAGAAAATTGGATTAATTTTCGAACACTTGCCCTTTTTTTGGCTAATGTTCACAGCGAGCCAAACAACAAAAACAACTCAAAAAAGTGTGTAAACGGGTTGTGCGCGCGCGCGTGCGTGTGTGTGTGTGTGGGCAACGTTTTTCGACACAACAAAAAAGCGATATTAACAACAACAATAATAATAATAGTAATAACAGAAAAAGAGCACTTTTGACGTATTCGTGGTTTCCGGTGGCGCCTACAAACGCCCACGAGATTCCCAAGGATTAATTTTTCGCGGTGCCCATTCATTCATTCATTCATTTATCCAGGGGCGCGCCTTGTCGATTTCTATTATAATATGAGCAATGATCGTTTTCTTCAACCTCATCATCATCTTCATGTCAAGTGTCCGCAATCATTTTTTTCGTCTTTTTCTTCTTCTTCTTCTTCTTCTTCTACTTCATCGTCTTTTTCCTGTCAATTTGATTCGAAAGAAGACGGCATGAGAGTGCAAGCGAAACTCGATGACGTGGGTTTCGTAGTCCGTCGGCTCCGCCTTGTAATGTCGTCACCTCGATGTGTTGCTTTTTGCTCGCCGCGCCGGGGTGGTGATGGTGGTGGTGGTGGTGGTGTTGGCGTGCGAGCTCGCGCTCGCACAAGTGAGAGCCGCTACTGAGCACATGATAGAAATAAATGAGACGAGGCTGCGGCGGGATCGGTTTTGCCGATGAAGCCGCAGATGAAAAAAATTAATGTTGTGAGACTAAATATAGCGAATATTGGTCTATTTTTAAATAATTTCATGCGCACATTGCAGGTGACATTCACCAAGCGGAAGTTTGGTCTCATGAAGAAAGCCTATGAATTGTCGGTGCTTTGCGACTGCGAAATTGCACTAATCGTGTTCAACTCGACGAATAAGTTGTTTCAGTAAGTAACTAATTTTCCGACGACCAATGGAAGACAATTGGCCTAATTAGGGTTATGGAAATCAAAAGTCAACTGTATTTCTTTAAAAAATGATCTTAAAACAATATTATCTATAATTAGAAAAATGTTCTAAATTTGTCTTTTTTTCATACAAATTCCCCTCTAATTTGGATAATCGTTTCAAAAATTTAACGCAATTTTGATTTCGATTTAATTTCATTTATGGTCTATTTAAAAAAAAAAAACTATTTTTATTTAAAAATGTGTTTCTATTTTTGGAATTTAGTTCACGACCTTTGATATTTCGATATCTAATATTTTCAAAATGCGGATATGTTTCAAATGTTGAATTATTCAGATACGCTTCAACGGATATGGACAAGGTTCTGCTCAAATATACCGAATACAATGAGCCGCATGAGAGTCGCACGAACAATGATATAATGGAAGCGTTGAATCGCAAGGAGGGGAAACACGGTGGTGGTGATTCGGACGATGAGAGTCCTGGACCTTCTTCAAGTCCGATGCCGCCGACAAATGGTCATTCGAATACCACAACCTCGATCGCTTCAAACTCATCATCGGGTGCCGAACAATCAACGACATCTCTGGCTTCAGCTCAACAACAACGCCAACTCAACGCCGCTTCGAATCTCCATCCGCTCTACCAGAACCTGTTCCTGCAACAATCCTATCGTCCGATACCGCCGAGAAACGAGCAATCGCTGCAACAGCAGCTCTCGAAGCATCTCGATTTTCCGACGACCTCGTTCGCCGACTACAATTCGCTGCATCCGATTGCGGCTGCGGACGCCGATTGCGAGTTGGTCGGCGGTCGGCCAGCGACGACGGCCGATCAGAATCTGTGGGCGACGGCGTTGCAACAACGTCCCGTGTCGCAGCCGGCTCCAGCAGGTATATCCAATATGATCGTTGACGCGCGTCAATGTCTGTTTTTGCAGTGAGTCGGACGGATAACAATGGAATTTCGCACGGCATCTCATCTGATCATGGTCTCAATTCGCTTCTCTCGCCATCCTCGCTCAACGGTGTCTCGAACAATCCGCTCATCGATATCGGATGTATTGGCGGCGGTGGTGGCGGAGGCAATGGCGGTGGCGCGCCGCCGCCCTACCTCAAGGTTGAGCCGAATGCCTATGTCAAAGTGGAGCCGCATTCGCCGCCCGAGAAAAGGCCGAGATTGACAGCCGATTGGCGACCGCAGCAGCTAACATGATTCGGCGACACACGAGAAAAATAGCCCGAGAAACACAAACCATCTCGTTGTACATTACAAACTGTCTCAGAAACAAAAAAAAGAAACAAGGGTTGTGCTTGTGAAAATGAGGGCGACGGTCGCGTTTTCAATAATTCAGGGGCTATTCAATCTAGTTTCAAATTCTCAGAGCTCGCCCTCAGCGTTTTTTTTTTCGATCTACGGGTTTCGACCCAAAAATTCTCAAGTCGCGATCCTTCCTGATTGATATTCGTTGAATCAATGAATTGTGATTTCTATTTTCTATTTCGCTATTTATTCCATTTTTATTGTATTCCCCCACTAGTAGGCACCAAAATATGATTGTTCCCAACTGCATATCGTTTAGTTTTTCTTCTATTTATTATTTTGTTATCTAGTTAGTCTTTTTTTGTATTCTTTCCTTCGTCTTACAAGGTATACAACTGTCTATTCCTTCATGATTCGATGCTTCTCCCCCTTCCCCGGTTTTTTTTCATTTCCAATTCATTTCTAGTGTGTCTATCGATTAAAATTTCCAAATAACATGATTTCTTTTGGCGAAAAATAAACATACTACTAACGAAATTAATAAAAGATTATGGAAGAAATTTTGGTAATGTTACAGAAGAAGAATTGATAATTTGTCGGTTTAGTATTTGAATTGAAGCCAGAATAGAAGATACAGAAGCAGAACAAGTTGCACGCACATGAAAAACGTCTGAAGGAGAACAGAAAAAATTAGAGTTGAGGAAATTGTGGGAAACAACAAACTATTTCAATGAAAAGCAACGATAAATACGAGTTTTTGACCAAAAAAAACCATTGGAATGAGAAATTATCGGGGATTAGACAAGTGTCGATGAAGACGACGACGACAAGTGGCAGACCCATAGAAAACCAAAAAAAAAGGAACAATAGAAGGTCGTTGGTATTTTAAAGAACATTGAAGCGGACGAGAAGATGGAAGAAAGAAATTATTAGTATATGGAGATCAATTCAAACATTTAGCTTGATCCATTTTGCCCGCGAAATGGCGAGAATCCCATAAATTGCGCTTGCTGTTGCAACTGTTGCTGCTGATGGTGAAGCTGCTGGTAGCCTCTGCTGATCCAGTTGGCTGAAATCATATCAAATGAAGCTAGGAATGTGTAACGGTTGACCGATGTTGCTTGTGTGACCACAACATTTAGGCATCTTAAAATGCTTCATTAATACAACTAAAGAGCGTGCAAATAGGTGCAACATTAAGAAACGATCAATAGAACAGAATTGAATTAATGGTCTTAAAATAAGATTAAAATAAGATGAATAGTGGTGGTGTTGGTGATGGGTTTCAGTGTCGTCAAGTAATTTCGCAACTCTAAGATTGATTTGACCGAGACTGATGGCGAATACGAGTGGGAAGCGGCGGCGGTACCCTTAATGAATGAAACAAGGTCTGCCGGAACATTTCCGGATTGTACGGTGTACATGATGGTTGCGAAGGCGGCACCGATGGTATATTTACCTCATCCATCGATTTTTGATCTGAAAGTGAGAAACGACACGCATGCACCACACATTGGAACGATCGAGTGCAATGAGCAAATTATTTTTAATTATCGTACATGCTCGGAAAAGCAATAGTTGTGAGCCAAATATAAAAGACATACCGGCGTTGCCACTGGCCATCTGGTGCATCGCAGCCGACATCGACGCCTGCTGCTGATGAGTCGCGTTGTTGCCTGGCAATCCAGCAAATGAATACGGAATACCATTAGCAGACAACGAGCGAGATACCAGGTTCGAATCGGTAGAAGACCAACCGAACGTATTCGACTGAAATTTCAAAAATGAAACATTCTAAAAACAAATGATAATATTAGCAAAGACGTTTAAAACATTTCCAGCCGTCTTCCCGCATCATTGGAGATTTCGGATAGTTTTTGTTGCGAATTTAGCTCGTGGAATGTTCTTCGGGAATATCACAACTTGTACAAAATTGCAAGAAAAAGACAGAATAGTTTTCGAAGCATACAATTAGTAAAACATGCAGTTAAAACAAAAGAACGAAACGATAGTACAATATAATATGTACGTACCACAAAAGGCAAATTATACGACGGAGCATATGAAGCAGAGGACGAACTAGTAGATGGTGCATTACGAAGCTGCAATTGTATCGATGGTTATTAGATCCCATAACCACGAACACCCTAAGTGCAATTTCGAACAACTAATACAGCCACAATAACAAGAAGTAATGAAGTAGAAGGGAACCAAGAAATCAACTTACAAAGATGTTCTTCGACGAATTTTGCGCGGCAGTCTCACACATGTTCGCCAATGCGTCCTGAATAGTTGCCGGCTTCTCCTGCGAAGTCGAACTGACGATCGACGACGAAACTGCCTCTGCGGATGAGGACGATGAGGAAGGCTGTCCACGACGGAGTGGCATCGCTGGTCTTGGCGGCGTGTCATCAAGAGTGATCACGTCAAGCACTCTCGGTGATCTGTGTCCATTGGCTCTTGGGGCTGGTCCCGCATTATTATTATTCACGGCCGGCTCGTCATCTGAAAAAATATAAATCTATCAAAAGTGAAAGCTAAATGTCAAATTGAAAAAGCTTTCTATTAAAGCATCGATTAATCGTTCGGGACATGCAGCTAAATTATCGCATATTGCGTTTGCAAAATTTAAAGCATTCATTTCGGACTGTTTTCATTTCTTATCTCAAATGTCAAAATAAGGGGGATGATTCGAGTAAAAAGCAGTTCGGTACACCAACACGAAGACGGGACAACATCGATACCAATCAACTACCTTCTTTCAGATAAACTTTTGCCTCTTCAATATTTCTGAAATTTGGAAAACCTTCTCCATTGATTTCTGCAAAATGAAATAGGTTCCCAGGTGCGATTGGATCCATTGTAGAAAACTCGCTCATTGCTTTTATGGTTTTTTTTTTTTCATTTTGTTTTGCGGTTAAAATGTGTATTAGAAGTGCGACAAGCCAGAATTTCTCCGATTTTCAAATTTTTCGAAGAGTGATTTTTCCAAAATATTCGGGGGGTGTCTAATTTCTAAATTATCAAACAAAATGAAAATGCATTAACATGTGGGTTGTTAAAGGTTGGTGCCAAAATAACAGATTTTCAACAAATATTCGAATTAAATGTCAAATTACCTGCTTGGTTCAGCGAGTTTCTGATACCGATGCTCACGCGCTCGTCATCACTATCATCTGAATCTATAGCAATTTTATTGATAACACTAGTATTATTCAACACAAACCGAGAACGACTTCGAGAGGAGGCTTTTTTGAGATCGGCTTGGATGGCGGAGGAACACGAGTCACTTTGATATCATCATCACCATCATCATCATCATCATCCGACAATAAGATGGCTTCTTCTTCAGCCATGACTCTATAGCAGCCATCTTCCTTAAGCTCAACTTCCTTCACATCTGGCGCAACATTCTTGAGAACATCACAGAAGTACCTTAAACGAGGTTATAATCTTAGAGGATGCATTAAATATAATTCGAATTACTCATCAATGTAGAGCTTTTCATAAGGAGCATTTGTTGCGCAAACTGGGCAACTCCAGACCGGACGCTTCTCATTCATCATGAGATACGAGTTCAAGTCGAAACTTTGCAAATGTGTGCATTCAGTGCATCGAGCTGGAGTCGTCATGCGTGTTTTGGACAACTGAAAAATATCGATTTTGAAGACAGTTGCTTTTTTATTGCTGTAATACTGGACACAATAGTCCAATTTTGATTCTGTCCATGGCGATTCCGTCATCATCAGCTCCGCTGAGCTTCTTCACAATTTCTTGTTTGGTGAGCTCCGATTTACGGCGGCGATTCTCATCTCTTGCGATGCGCTCGTACAAGATGCTGCTGCTCAAACGATGAACCTGAAGCAAATAGTTTAACCTTTTTAGAAAACTTATTTCAATTCTACATAGTAAATAGCTACAGCCCATGTGCGGCGATCAGCCGTCCATTCGACGTGTAAACGATGAGGTCCCGTGCGTCTAACGCATGAAGCAGTGATGCAAACTGGACGCGATGGGCGCTTTGGCTCAGCATTTGCCTTGTTTGTCGGAATCACATTCTGCAAGAATTCAGCAGTTTTCAATTGAATCCTGAGCACGTTCGTTACCGGCAAAGGAATGCAAGTGTCATCGACGCGAACATTGCAGTTGAGCGGGAAATCATCCTTCTGCGGCTCGTCCAATTCGGTGGCATTAAAGAAACTAAAATAAACACTTAAAATAGTCAAAAAATCAATAGATTAACTCACCGAAGCTGAATTTCATATCTTGGAAGTGGCCTTGAATCGAATCTATGGATCGACGCTTCAATTTCCGAACCCAAGACGAAATTGAATGCAATCTGAAAAAACGGGCTAAGGTTATAATGAAAAAACAAAAACCTTCGTATTCGCCTTGGTTGTGGTCGGATGCGCCGGCAATTCCATTGGCTCGAGTATGGTGCTGCATACATCGTAGAAAGGAAGATTCTGGATCACCAATTTAGGCGAAGACCGAACAGTTGAAACCTGAAAGCAAACTGCTACTTTTGAAAATATAATGCGATGGCCATACGGGTCCAGAAAGGAACTGCTGTGCAGCATGCATTGTCGATCCTCCCGCATATGGAACTCGAATACCATTATGTCCAAACATTCTAAAATTTGAATATTCGTTAAAAACAAATTGCTTCAAACTCAAAACAATTGTTGCTCCACAATTTCATTTTTTTTCATTTTTGCACAAATCTTTCAAAGGAAAATAATCGATAACCGAGATTTTAAATGATACACAGAGCGGTTTGACTGTTTTCTTTTAGATTATTCAAATCAAAAAAACCTACTGGAAATTTCGTGTCGGAATCTGATATGGAGACGGTCTCGCAAGACCTTTACGGAAATATTCCAACTGAAATTATTTAACTATTATTGAGTTAATTTTGAAAATCGAATTACGCTTTGATAAGTCTTCCATTGGGTTTGTGGACAGCGGAGAGCAGCTGTGAATCGACTTTGCAATTCCGTCTTGAGACCATTCTTACGCAACCCAGCGCGTTCAAGAATTTTCTGAAAAAAACACAAGAGGCCAATTATTCGCCCAAATTTTGCATTCTCTTACCGTTAAGTCTGAAACCTTTACTTGCTGGATGAAGCGCTAAAATGGTATATTTAGTATATTTAGAGTTAATAGAATTAATTACCTCAGCTTCAGATATTTGTTCATGAGTGATTTGATATGGTGTTGGTGGATCCGGCATTGTCGGCAACGACGCTCGAAAATCCTCGAAGTAGGGGAACTGTTTTATTAAAATGATAATGAATATTAATATAGTTTGTTTTGGTTCGAAATATTTTCCGAAAAAATGTCGAATTGTGAATTATTTTTTTCAAATAGGTCAGGGTTTTTTTTTTTTAATTTTAAAACCTTTTCGAGAATTATTCGTCAATAAAACTCTCAGTTTTCGATGAAATTATGTTTATCTAAAAGATTCGATTTGCCTAATAATAAATCTAATTACAAACCATATTCAAAAAATGAGTCGTTAGAATTGCATTTATCAATCAGAGAATGAAATAAGAATGATTCAAAATCCCGTGAAATTTTGAAAATCCCGTGAAACATTCAACCATTATCGAGAAATGCAATCCTATAAATTTGAATTTCGACGTAAAAGGCAATTATTCGAATCTCAAATTGTACACATAATGTGTTAAATAATTGTCGAAAAATCAGAATAATTTGGAAATTGAAATTCGACAGACCACAGCAATCATTCTTACGCGGGACGCCACACAGCGTCGTCACCAAAACAGTCGCTACAACGCGCCAAACCTAACCTTATTATTACTCATATGAGCGGTGAATTCCTTACGATGCAAAAAAATTCTCGCGTATATACATATAAATGTAAGTATTGCAGTGGTGTGTCGAATTCCCCGTTACACAAAATGTGTCTGAAAAATACGATTAAAATCGTCGCATTGGGATGGATCGAGTTATACGGAACAACAGCGCGACTCCTTAATAAATTATAAGGCTCCGCTATTCTACCGTATAACGCATACAATAAAAACGGGTGAAATCGAAAAAAACGTTACAATCGAGTACGAGAGTGTAAAAAAAGATGAATGAAAGCGTTGAAATATATCACGGACATTAAAGCCGAGTGAAAAACGAAAAAAAAAATAGAAAATTAAATAATTTTATAAACATTTTATTGGCAAATCAAAATCGGTGGGCTATGATAGAATAAAAACACAAAACAGTTTACAATTCTAAACGCTAAAAAACCGATTCGTACAGCTAGAGTCGTTTCCAATACACGTAAAACTCATCTTTTCTAACTCTCTAGCGACGATACCAAAGCTGAGCTTCCCTCTTGCGTTTGATCTTCTTTTGTAGTTGAAGAACACCATAAAGAAGCGCCTGAAAAACCAGCAAATCTGAAACTATTTTGGAAAAGTGCTCAATAAATTTCGCAAAAACTCTTTTTCGTCTGCTCTTTTGTACTAATCCATAAGGGATCAATTTGACTTTAAAAAAAACCAATAACTCTATTCTTTTCCCTTATTTGTGAAACAAAAACTTGAATGATTCGCTATTCAACAAAATTCAAACCTCGGCAGTTGGTGGGCATCCAGGGACGTAGATATCAACAGGAATGACTCGATCACATCCTCGCAACACAGAATACGCGTAGTAATAATATCCACCTCCGTTGGCGCATGATCCCATTGAAATCACCCATCTGAAAAATGAAGAGATTGATGACGTATACGGGACAAAATTAGCATCATTAATTCGATTTTTTCGCATTTGGTAAGCGTATTGTCTTTAATTTTAATTGTGCACTGAGCCAATCTCTTTTCTAGAATAGCACAACAAAAGAATGACGCCTTCCACAACCCCCCCCCATTAAAATTTTATTCTGAAGCAAGAGAAAAAATGAGCTCAACAAAGCGAATACAACAGGATTAATGAACATATCTTCAAGAGGAGCCTTATATAGTGAATATAAACGCAATGGTTCAATCAGTCAAGAGAGTAGAGAAATGATAGAGATGGGAATAGCAACAGATATTAAGAGATTGAGAGATATAAGAGATATTTTATAAACGAGACGCAGACGCAATCAATGCCTTTAAGAAGCATCGATTTTTGTCTATCTTGTCGTCAGGAAACTATCAATGTTCTACTGATATCGTGACATGAATTAATCTACCTTTCTTATTCGCATTTTCACACTTGTGACTGAAAATCATTTATGGATATATTCTGCCCATTGAGAATAATTTATATTTTATTTTTTTCATCATTAAACCACGTTAAAAATGATAGTACAAACGTTTTTCGTATCGCAGAATAGTTCCATTAATCATAAATATTGTCGGCATCGCGTGACTGCGGAAAAAAGGGCCAAATGCCAAATAATGAGAGATTTTAGTACGCGATGTGCGCCTTTAACCTATCCTTATAATTATGTCCGTAAATCTACACTCAAGTTTTGCGCCAAGACCACTGTCATCGTTTTTTTTGGTATTTAGCCAATTTCTCGCAGTTGCGCGACACCGACAATTTCCTTTACTTATACGAAACTATTTAATTCGAAAAGAAATGAAATTTGGTAATTAAAGAGACATTGCGTGGCTGTCTTTAATATCTTTGAAACTAATAACTTTCAAGTCGCAAATACAACTTCTCAAAAGTATGAGTCAATATAACTGAAGCAACCTATCATTAAAAATACGGTGTCAACTTAAATGCGTCTGTGTTTAAAATACATTTCTTATTTTTCTTAACCCTATAAGATTAAAACAAATCAACAATGAACGCGGAATTTCGAAATTCGTTCGGATACTAATTATCGCAATATTCTAAATAGCAAAATACATTTATGCTTATCATATTATCAAGATTAACTCTAACTTTCAAGTGATTTCAAAAAGTTTAGAAACTCGAACAAATGTTTGAAATCTCGTCTAGACTAACGTCGTCAGAATACGCTTCGATAGGTTATTAGTGTAGAAATTCGGAGAAACTGAGGTTGTCGACGAATTCGCAGAACGCGCTTAATTTGCGAGATGTGTTTCTATTTTTGTTTTATAAAACGCTATATGAGTGTGTATAAGTCTCGTGACTGGCAAATAGACGCGGCGCAAAACAAATCGATATTTTCCAAAGGTTTTTTTGCAGGCCGAGAAAATATCAGCGAGCATTAACTGAAAAGGTAAGGTTGCACAAATGCCGAAAATCAATTGATTTAGAAACAAACTAGTAAATATCAATGAGAAATTATGAGGGTGCCACGTTGTTGATTGTAAATGCGGACGCATTCGCGTTAAGACCTCAGAGCCACGTAATTATAAGCGTGGTTTCGTGGTTTTTTATTTTCGATTTTCCCATTACGAAAAAGAGCGATCGTTGGCTTGCGGATGGGTGAATGAACGGATGAAAAAGATAGTAATTCATTAGCTTCCGACCGACAATTTCGGGGGGGGGGGGCAACTGTCACTGCGTGAAGACCGAATGGTCTCGAAGCGAAAAATTCTCGTTGATATATGACATTCGTTCGCGAACCAATATTTTAATCGTCAGAAGACTTTTTAATCCGCTGATGTACACTGATACGCATTTCATTCAAAACTTAGCGTTCCACTAGTCAAAATTTAAGAGATCTCTCAAACGTATCATTCTTAATTATTTAAAAATCGTAATTGACAGATTGCGTAGTTGTCTTCAGAATCGTAATTGATAGATGATAGACCTCTTAAACAGTTTTTTTTTTCACAAAAAAAAACCTACTTGGCTTCCGGCATCTGATCATAGATTCTTCTCAATGCTGGGGCCATCTTATTTGTGACAGTTCCAGCGACGAAAATCAAATCGGCCTGAAAAATCGGATATATCGATTGAAGAAAATTAGACAAATGTCACCTGTCTCGGTGAAGCACGGAACACAACTCCGTAACGATCCATATCGTATCGTGGAGCAGCGAAGTGCATCATTTCGACGGCACAACATGCTAATCCGAACGTCAATGGCCAAATTGAGCCGCGCTGTGCAAGATTCATGACGTCATCCAAACGAGCCAACGCGTATTCCGCCTTCGATGATGGGTTTAAAAATGGGGTACCTATAAAAAATAATGGATTGTTTTAATGTGTTCGGTGCTTTCCTTTCACGTACCGGTGGTTGCCATACCCTTCGGAGCCTCACTGCTGCTGGCGATCGCTTGAGTTCCAGCAAAACGACGCGACGCCGTCGCACCGGCGGTACGAAGCGCGGAAAGCATCTGCACGATTCATATCAAGCATTGAATTGAGACTGAGCTCCGACGAAAAGGCGAGGAAAAGAACGAACGAAATACATCGGCGGCGCCCGCCCCAGAACACCAAAGATTCACGGCGGGCCGTCCGCCGCCCGAGTGGAAATAGCGCGAGCGACCGAGAGCGCGCAGACGCAGTTTCGATCGATAATTCGTCGTCGCCCACTTTTTTTTAGCGTTTAGTTTATTAGAGAAGTGTACGTGATTCGTCGATAGGCTGGACGGTTAGCTTTCGAAGATTGCAGTGCAATTATAAATTAGACTGGCTAGTACCACTCAAACTCCGAAATGGAAACAATTTTTTCAAAGAAGTTTCATTCAAATAGAATAATTAAATTAGAACATATTTCGAATTATAGAAGATAATGATCAAAGATTAGATGGTTGAAAAATCAATTTAAAAATGGATTTTCAATTGATTGAATGCCGCGTTTGTTTATTTAAGAGATATGAGTTGGACTTTCTGATCTCAAACAGGAAGTGAACATATGTTAACCTACGGCTCAAATTAGGTGTATTCATGCTGAAAAATCATCTTCTCTAAACTCAAAGGTTCAAGGAATCTATGAAACTAAATAAAAATAAATATATTACCTTCTAATGGAATAATTGAAGCGTTGTTTGTTCTTCAAGACTAACAAATAACATCTAAATGCGGGACGAATGAAAAAATTCCGACGAACGACCATTTATATACAATTTCAACTACCATAAAAATAACGTTTTTATTAGTTTTAATTGATGTTTTTGTCAAATAATTGCATTGCGTCATCACAAGAAAACGCCAAACAGCGTGTTTATTTCCCATTAATCAAATTAAATTATTTGTTCACAAAAAAATAAACAAATTTGTGCATTGGCAACAAGGAGAACCCAGTAATACAATCAGGACAAACAGGAGACAAGAACTTTTTAGTCTGGGATAACCCGCAGAACATTTTTGAAACAAACATAAGAAAAATTAAATTCGTTGAAACAAGAGTCGCTCACAGTTTAGCTTGAAACTCTAAATTGAAAGCGATATGTAATTGGCGTATCACTAGTGTTAAAATTTTTTGTTACAATCAGATGCAGTTTTTAGGAACTCGAAACCAACTGCGGTTCGTCCTTTTCGCATTTCTGAGAAGTAATAAAACAATTTTTTTTCATCACTATTTTTCTAAACTTCTCTTAAACAAAAATTTAAATTCATATGTTTTCATTTAAATTTGGGGTTATTTGTCGAATTTAGAAAATCTAAAACATTGGCAAACTATTAAATTGAAAATATAAGTGAGCTATTTTTTTTTCGGATTTACATTCAAAACCTAGCAAAATTATGATGCATTCAAATATGTAAATTCCTAAACAAACCATTTTTCGACTAAAAATGTTTGAAAAAAGCGCGAAAGCCATCAAAACGCTGACAATAAATTCGGAAAAGCATTACATTTGTTAAAGAAATCAAGCATTGCACGACTTGTTCGGTAGAGCGCAAATGCTCAACTGGGCCGCTCGAACACGGCCAGGAGAAAACTTAAAAGTAATATTGACTTTGGAGAAGATGTGGTAATTGTTGGAGGAATCTCACAGAAAGTTCTATTTATATAATATCCATCATCGTGCTACATTGATAATTTTAAAACATGGAAAAAACTTGAGATATACAAAACAGAAACTTCCAGGTGGCCGAATTTTTTGAGAAAGAAGAAAGTGCGCCCTGATGAAAGAAATCAGCTCTCGTCGTTGAATTAAATTATTTGACTTCTTGTCATTTCATTTTGCATTTTCGCTTCCATTCGGACGCTATCAGTTCATTTTCGTTCGTTTCTTTTGTGCATCAAACTCGTCAGTTGTTTTTTTTTAGGAAGAATTCAATACAAGCAAGCTTGTTAAAAAGAACAACGTACGTTCCAAATGTTTATTTGATATTTTTAAATTTCTGCAACATCGTTTTGACAGGAATGCGTTTATACTTGTGTTTTTTAATCTGAAACTGAATTGATTTCAATAAAATGTTGTCAAGAAACAGAAATACTTTCTTTAAATTCAAAATTAATTAAAAAAATCTTCTTAACAATTTTTGGTGAATAACTTAAATTCATTACTCAAATTTCCAAAAAAAAATAGAAATATATTGTCGCAACGCAATAAATTAGCATATTCTCGGAAAATATGAAAGTTAACGAGCTTTTGCCGAAGCTAAGCAAAAAATCTAAATTTTCTAATGACTACCAGCTGTCAAAAATTTCATTTCCTTCAAAAAATGTTACACAAGTAAATTAAGATTTCAGTCAGTTTTGCAAACTAGTTTCTCGTCTTATCTATAGTTTCATCGCAGCAACAAAAAATATTGGGAGGGAAATTTTCGAATTGTGTTGTTATGATCAAAAAAAGAATTTCCGCGATTGTCACTATTTCAGAAGTTATCTTTATTCTCACCAAATGTCGCGTTTTCTGATGCCTTTGCACGTTTTTTTATCAGATTTCATCATTTCCATCAAAATTCTTCAGTTTCGTTCAAAAATTCTGGAACAGCGTGTGATTCATAGAACTACAGACAGTCCCACTCTCGCTGTTTTTCAAGTTTCGTAACATTTTAAAAAAATTCCTAAATCATGGTTTTTTCAGCTTCTCCTGCAGAATTTACGTTGAGAATTCGTTTACTTTTCTTCTTTCACTTTAAAATTATAGCTCTTCGTTGAATTCGACATAGTTTTGAACGTGTTTCGAGGTAGCTATAAAAAAACACCCATTTTTTTGAAAAAAAACCTTTCTTTATAAATTTTTAAAACATATAATGATAATTAGGATTCTTGAAATTTGATCATTTGATGAAAATTGAATATCCCGAGAAGAGCTCTCAAATTAGTCTCTCAATAGTGTTCAAGCTCAAATTGATTCGTTTTTTTTCCGGTGTATCGCCGCTATAATATTAATGCATAAATATATTTCTTCAAAAGTCTTCTGCTCATTCCTCACTGCAATGATTTTTTATTAAAAAAAAAATAACTAAAGATGTGAGCTTTTTTGAATTCAACGTTCAGTTGTTTTTTGCTTATTTTCGTGTTTGTGCTTCCTTTTTCTCCCCGTCTTCTCACATTTAATTTCCTTTTCCAAAACACATTATCCGATTTCCATTCGTTTTCTTATAATCTCGCTCCGAAAATTGTACTTTTAGTCATTGTTTTCCTAAACTTTTTCAGCATTGCTCAAAAATCCGCATATTTTCTCATAATTGTCCATTTTCACGCACGGCATTGGAGAAAGCTTTTACGTCGTTTCCCATCAATATTACCTATTCCGTTTTTTTTTGGTAAAAGAACGAGAAAAATAAACTAAAATAAAAAGAGGCGGCGAATTTTGCGGTTTTCGGAGCTGTACAATTTTGCACCAAAATAAAGTGTAAACACAACGAAATTCGTGATACGCCGCGAATTTTCTCGATTAAAAAAAGCATGCGCCATAACGCGTATCAGCGATGATAATTAATCGAAAAATGAACATTGAAATCGAATGAGCTCAATTCAATAAAAACCGCAAAATTTCTCTCATCATAATCCGGCGTTGAATTTCCGAGAAATTGCATTCGATTGTTTTTTTCGTTCTCGTACTTCGAGTGTTCCGCAGCCAACCAACCGAGTGAGAAGAGTTCAAAAATTGATAGTTGTTTCGTGTTTCCTCATTTCCCCCCAATGTTCATTGCCATTCAATTGGTTACCTTGTTTCGTTGTGGGGTGTAACAAGGCTGAAATTAATAGTGATACGAGTCTTCGTTTCTACTCGACAGTTATCACTAGGGCGACTATTTTGTGATCGTTTTTGAAAAAAAAAACTTTTTCGCATCTCTCAATCAATCTATCTACAGGGTGTCATTTAAGTTCCCGCACAAAAGTTTGACGTCATGAAGAGCTTGGCTGTCGCACTTTTCGTGAAACAATACAATTTATTTTTGTTAAATAAGGTATATTTTACTTATTTTCCAAGTTTCACTTCATTCGGATGTGTTTCCGAGAAATGGCGAAGGCTAACATTCATCGCGCTTCCATTATCGAACTTTATAAGCAAAATGAGAGCCCAAGAGACATCATTCAACGCCTCGGTGTGCCTCGTAGAACGCTTTACGACACCTTCAAACGTTTCAAGGAGCTAAATACGACCAGTGACCGTCTCAGACAAGGAAGACCCGTCTCGGTAACCACTCCTCAGAAGATCAACGCCATCAAATCGAGGATCAGGCGAAACCCCTACAGGAGCATGAGAAAGATGGCGTCAGACGTGGGAATGAGCATCTTCGCTTTGGAACAAATCGTCAAAACGAAGCTTGTACTGACCCCATATCGTGTCCAAAAAGCGGCAATTCTATCGGCCGTCAACAAGCAGAGACGCTTCGAAAAAGCAAAACGACTTCTTGCGCGCACGCGGTCTGGAGAACACCTCGTCACTGTCTTCTCCGACGAGAAGCTATTCACTATGGAGACGGCATTCTACTCACAAAACCATTGAGTACTTGCCCAGACATCCCAGCAAGCTTCTGAGAAAGGAAGAACAATTAATCGAGCCTCACATCCTGCCAGTGTGATGGTTTTCGGTGCCATCTGCTCAACCGGGAGGTGCCCCCTGGATTTCGTGGATCAGGGGGTGAAAATGAACAAAGAAGTCTACGTTTGGGACATTTTAAAGAAGCATGTGATGCCCTGGACTCAAACGCATTTCGGTGGGCAGAAATGGGTCATTCAACAGGACAGAGCACCCGCCCACAATGCCAAAACTACTCAGGAGTGGTGCCAGACCCATTTTCCCGACTTTATCAAGTCATCCGAATGGACTGATTGCTCCCCAGACCTGAATCAGCTTGACTTTTCCGTGATGGGGTCTTGCAGGAGAAGGTCAACGCAAAACCCCACTAAAGTGTAGAGGCTCTGAAGAAGACATTACTGGCGGCATGGCACAATCTTTCCATCGAATACCTGCGTACCACAGTCGCATCCTACCCGAAGCGTCTCTGTGAAGTCATAGCTCCGAAAGAAGGCCGAATCGAAAAGAGTTAATATAAAATTATTTGTTATACTATAGATAAAAAATATTTCAAGTCTCGTTTGATTTGGACTTTTAGTCTCAGAAATATACGTCTTCAAAGTTGTGCGGGAACTTAAATGACACCCTGTATATGTGCCTCTATGAGTGTGTGTGTGTTTTTTTTTCCTAGCGGGGGTTTCTTCTTCTGTGAGTGAGTATGTGAGTGTGTGTGAGTGTTTGTATGAGCGAACGAAAATTCCAGTGGTGATGGGTGGTGGTATATGTCTGTGTGTCTCGTCCGACGATGTGTTGTCGCGTTGAAATGCCGGCGTCTCGCCAATTCACGCGCTATTCGCCGCAAAAAATATGGCGAGCGTGTCGCGCGCCCTCCAGCAATTGCTCGCTCTCGCGTTTGTCGACCAGTTTTCCATTTCCAAGACTGCCGCCCGCCACCGTTGTCGTCGTCGGTCGCTCGCTCGGTCGGACGGCGGTCGGTCGGTCGGTCGGTCGCCGTCGTCGTCGTCGTCGTTGTCGCTGATGCTGATGCTGTGGCCCGAGTGTGGGGCGGCTAGGCCGGCAGCAGCCGTCGAACACTCTGCGTCTCTGACCGTAGCCCCGGCCCCTCGTTGTTCTGCGCTTCCCAGTCGGGCGCGTTATTGCGCCCGTAGCGCTACACTCGCTAACATCAAACACCTATGGCGGCCACGCCATGCAATATTATGATATTACGTGAAACATCAAGCCTCTTCCTATTTGTTTTGTTGCCTAATTTATTTTTGTCATCGCCTCGCCGCCATTTTTTTTTCATGATGTATTCTTTCTTCTCCTTTTTCGTTTTTTCAAATGTTCGTTTGCATTTACTCCATGCTTGTCTGCAAGCCTCTCGCATTTTGCCCTTCTAAAATCATTGCTCATGTTGTTTTCTTGAATTAGGCATTGATTGAAAATCATCAATTATTAATGGTAATGTTAATTATAAGCACTTTTCATAATATTTTATGCATTAATAATTGAATAGCTATTGGGATTCTTGAGAAATGCAACTTATTGTTTTGTTTGCACGAATTTGTGGATTTTCTTATTCATTCCGATTTGCAGCAATCGATTTTGTGTCTTAACGCGTTGCTGAAATGCCAAGCCGCTTATAATCTTAATGTTTTCATAATCGAAATTCCATATATTTCGCGATTTCGTCGAATATATTCACAATTCGAAGTGGTTTTTTTTGCATACGTTTTTAAAAGAAATTTTGAACTAAAGCAATTGCAAATTCGTATTTTTTATTATTTGTTTTTAATCATTAAATTAGAAAAGAATGGGGGGGGGTTTTTTAGCTATCATTGATTACGCGAACTATAATGAGATTGTAGATTTTTGATCGAATTATTTTACTTTCGTTTTGCTTTTTCCTTATCATTGAGATAAGATATAATTAAGAATGTTGTTTTTTTTTGTTGCAATTGCGGACTTTTTTATCACCTAAAATTGTTTTTTTTTGTCTTCTGTTTTCGATTTTTGTTTTTTTTTCGAGTGTAAGCTCAAAACACTCAAAGAATCTCGTGGAATATTTTGGTATTTTCACTTTCGATGCATTTTTCTCGTGTGACCATTGCAACTTATCGCGCAATTTCCGTCTACGAAATGAATGAGTCGAGTTAATGTTTGGTTTTCGTTCTTACGCTTCGCTTTTGCACCACTGTTTGATTAGCGAGAAATTGATTTTCCTGAGAATTTATGTGTGTGTGTTTTTTTTCTTTATGGACAGTTGCTTGACCATTACTAGGAGATGATGACCCGAATCTTATTAGCTTTCGATTTCGGCGCTTTCGGCGCGACGGCAATTTGTGAGTGGGAGAAGAAGAAGACGAAGAAGAAGGCAGGATTTGGCGAGGGAGTGGTGGTCGATCGAACAAAAAATGGTTGCCAGATGACAAATTGGCAATTGATTGTCGTTTCGTTTCCTAGATCGCATAATTTGCCAATCCAACGATTTATTATGAAATAATGTTCGGTTTAAAGGCGCATTCATCGATTTGGGTGGAAGAACTTTCTAGATTTTTTTTTGCTAAATTCTTGCCATCTTTGAAAATATTGATTTCCGATGTTCAAAAAATCGATTTTAAGGAAATTCTGTATGTTGAAATCAAGCTTTTCTTTCATTTTCATTCATTATTTGTCGTCAGTACCATTTCATATCAAATTTCAAACTTTTCATCTTCAATTGATGTTCTATTACTATTACTACCATTGATGCCTCAAACTCTTAATCTTTATTTTGTCGCAAACCAGCTTTTCAAAATTTTCTCGCCAATTGTTGTATGTAGATCAAACAACTCCGCGCGAAACTTTCGACTTGTTTCTCTTCCAAAATTAACACACCTTTTGGAAATTAGGTGTGACAAATCAATATTCACTTGATTTCTAATGTATTTTTTAGACGATGATTTCGTAAAAATAGTTAAAATTTCAAGATTAATTAGTTGTTTTTTGTGTTAAAAAAAAAACGGATATTTTTGAGGCTGCCATTCATTTTTTTTCCCTCAAAGATCGAATTGTAATAGATTTTCACACTCGGAAGCTTCCGGGCAGCGTCTATCAGGGCACAGCAAAAGCATTGATATTATCAGTCGGAAAAAATGTGAACGAACTGCTTTATCATTCGGAACTCTTCTTCGGTCTGCTTCTTTTTCTTTTTCTTTCGCTTTTTCTTGTTTTTTTTTTCAGCCAATCGATAAATGTCTCGTAAATAGGCGATGAATATTTCAATTTGTCGCTTCCTCCTCCTCTCACTCTCAATTTTATTTATTATTACAACACCTGCAAAACGCAGTGGCGATTGTTTGAGTTGGTTGGATAAACCAAACCAATCGATTTGGTTTTTGGTCGTCCCGTCGGGATTTTGTTGAACATGCGTCGGTGGGCCGGCGGAAGAAAAAAAAGTGGCCAATCTGTCTGAAATCGACCAATTATTTGTATTTGGTTGGTGTTGTTCTCCGACTAGATTCCATTTTCTGAGAAGGCAACTTTTTGACCTCAGCATCACTCTCGATATATTTTTTCCATCCTGCACGTATGTATTAAAGGCACATTAGCTAATACTAGGGTTCTCAAAAAGATTTATGATTCTTTTTAAGACTTTTTTGCCGTGTTCTATTGCTTTTCTTCTTATTTACACACTTTTGCCACCAATCGAATCTTGCTTTTGTTGAAGATTTATTGCACTTTCTCGCTTCATTTTTTTCTGTATCATACTAGTTGTTAATTTTTTTTTGCTTCGTTTTTTTTCAATTTGTGTTTTATTTTTTTTCAGATGAGAGACGACGATAGCAGTGTACCGCAACCGTCGACGTCGGCTCTTCTGGTGAATGAGGAGAAAGCGGCAGTGCCGCAACAGAAGCCATCGACGCAGCAGTCGACGACGACGACCGCAGCAACCTCAGCAAACGCCTCCACAACTACGAGTAGCAACAATACCGCTACGAACACACAGCAAAATGTGAAGCAGGCTTCGACGTCTGCTAATTATTACAAGGTACGCTTGGTTTTGTATTAGATTTGTCACGCGGAGTGCGTGACATCATCTGATAATAAAACTTGATAAAAACTTCAAAGAAAGCGAGGAAACAGCGATATTGCTGGTGCTTGAAACCATTTCGATAAAAAATGAGAAAGAATTATACAGCGAAACGAAAAATGTGTGTGTGTGTTTCGATTTAATTACTTGGAAATTCAATGTTCGATTTTCATAGTTAGAATTTGGCTCCTGCACTACGGATAATCAAACTTACCGTTAAACTACACGGGGTGCTCCTATTTTTGGGATTCATATAAATTGAAAGCCAAATTGAGACTAATTTAAGAAAACAAGAATTTTCGTTAAATTGCTTAAGAATCCCTATTGAAAAACGTGATTTTCAATTTTTTTTTAGTTTATCGAAATTTTTTTTTCGCAAGAGTTCAAAATATAACGTGAACATACTCTATTTCAGGACATTTATCACGATTTCGGGTATGGTGTAGGTGTTCCATTTGCGCCATGGAGACGGAAACGATATACAATGTCCATAGAAGGGTAAATTTTCCTCTGAGCCCATCTCATTGTAAATTTGTTTTTGATTTTTCAGATTACACGAAGAAATAATCGACTTGTACCATTGGATTAAACCAAACGCGCTCGAAGCGCAAATTCGACGGCAAGTGTTCGAAAAAGTATACAAATCAATCAAAAATCGATGGAAAGACAAAGAAATAGCGATATCCATGTTTGGCAGTTTACGAACCAGTCTTTTCCTTCCGTCGTCGGACATTGACATACTCGTTCAATGCACGGAATGGGAGGATTTGGATGCGGAGGAGAAGAAAATGGTAGGAATGCACGACATTAATAACCTAATGCATAAATAATATATTGTTCAGCTTCTTCTCAAAACTGCCAAAGAGCTCGAAGAGGATGATGTCGCGGTTTCGGTGTCGGTATTCGGTGGAGCACACGTTCCAATTGTGAAACTCGTTGAAAAGTAGGACAATTTTTTTTTGATAATTAGTCGCGATAATTAACGATTTCAGGGATACCCGGCTAAGTGTTGATATATCGTTCAACACATTGCAAGGTGTTCGAGCTGCTGATTATATTGAAAAGGTTTCAGAATTTCGAGAAGTTCAACTCATTGTTTTTTTTTCAGGTCAAATTTGAATTTCCAATAATTGAGCCGCTGGTTCTACTTCTCAAACAATTTCTTCATTATCGAAAATTGAATCAAACATTTACTGGTGGATTGTCTTCTTATGGGCTCATTCTGCTTATAGTTCATTTTCTACAAGTAATTTAGCTTTTAGTCTAATTACGCTAATTATCTGTTCGTATTTTTAGACATACGAGTTGCCTATGCGACGAAAACAAATATATGACAAGGATGTCAATTTTGGAGCCCTTCTTCTGAGGTTCTTCGAAGTTTATTCGCAGGTTTGTGCATTTTGTTATTTCAAAAGTGGTTTTCTTGAAAAGTTTTTAATTTGTTTGATTTTTTCCAAAAAAAAATTTTGAAACCCGATTTAGACGAGAAACTACATATTTTTGAAAATTCCCAAAATTTTTAAAAATCGCGGAATTTTTGGTTTTTATGGCAAAAATTTTCCCAAATTAAATTGATGTATTTAGTTTGGTTGATATTTCGATTTATTTAGGAATTTAACTACGAGGATGTCGGAATCTCAATCTCACAAATGCGCTATGTGCCGAAAACTGTGCCAGGCTCGAAATTCCAAACGCCGATTCGCAGCCACTCAGGAGGGTTGTCGCTTGAAGACCCGTTGCTCAGTTCCAACGATGTCGGGCGATCAACATTCAATTTTGCTGCGATATCCAATGCGTTCGGACAAGCCCTTCAGATATTGATGGTGGCGGTTTCGGTGAGAGATCGGCGGAATTCGCCGATATGGCATAGAGTGTACAAGGGAAGTATGCTGCATCTGATAATGCCGTTCACATCGAAGGAGGTCGCATTCCGCAATTGGCTCAAGGGAGGCACACTATCTTACTCGAACATTCCAATCTATCCTGATCACTGTTTTGCCATGAACACATTATTGTCGCCGATCGTCAATTTGAAGCACTTTGAATTTATGAGGCGGACCTCAAGACGACGAGATACTATCAGTCGGCCTTTGAAGATCACTGATCCTCAGGAATTGGAAAAGGCAAAGCAGAAGGAAAAAGAGCAGGAAGAAGAAGCGGCGAAGAAGTTGGCTCAAAAGCACGACGAAAAGCCGCCGCAAGAACTCGAAATTGATGATACTGAAGTCGCACCTCCGATGCCAACGTCGACCGCTTCTGTGACGACGTCGGCGACAATGAGTACAACGGCGAGTGGTAGCGAACGAGACGATACGGATTCTCCGCCGCTGTCCAGTGTCGTTGGCTCGTCGGATGACGAAGCAACGAATCCGTTGTCGAAATCGACACAGGTGCCGACGTTCAAGAAGCCGTTCAGCGAGGTTGTCGCGTCGAACAGCAAACAGAAGTCGAGTCATTCCGAGAAAAACTACAGCCATACTAATAACTACTATAGCGCCCAGGATTATGCCGGTGCCGTCCAGAACAAGTTTCGCGGACAGTCGAATCGACCGCGCGAACGGAAATCGAGCCGACATCACTCGCAGGGAAGCAATGACAGCTCGGTGAATGGTTATCGTAAGTCACAAGAACACCGATTAATTCAGTTGAATTGTTGCGTTTCAGCCCCATATCGGTTTCCGGCATATTCAGGAAGACGTGGGAGAACATCGTCGAACTCATCGTCGAGATCGCATGAATCACGAAAGATCGTGGGATCGGTTCGATCGACGCCATCACCATCACCGAAAGCAACAGATAATGGCAATAATCGGTAATTTTTATTCTTCATATTTTCATAATGACTTTTATGTGTTTTTTTTTTTTCAATTTGCAGGGCTGCCAATTCGCAAGATATTGCAACGACGTCGCTGAAAAACCGCCAGTACAGCGGATACGCGGACGCGGTGAAAAATATGAATGGCAACTCGCCGAATCGTGTGGCGTTCAGCAAGAAAGAAATGACGACGACGGCAGTAGCGACGCCTGTTGCGCTGACAAACGGCAACGCGAAAGTGACAAATGGTGCGTGTTTTTTGGGCGCCTGCGGACGAAAAACCAAATTGCAGGCAACCCGGAAACTAGTCCGACGACATCATATCGGAATGCTCTAAATGGTAATTCAAATGGTATCCAAGATAATTGAGATGAGCTGAGGAATTCAATTCGTATTTATTTGTAGGTATATCAAACATTAAACTTGATCTAAAGTCGCCGATGAAAAAGTCAAACGGTGACGCAAATGAAACAGTGCTCATAGATGTAAGTTGTTTTATTTATTTCAATAAATGCCATATCTAGACAATATTTGATTAATTTGAAATTGCACCTCTGACTGGGCTATTAATGTAAAGTTTGAATTTTGCGTTGTCACAGTATCGCATTTTTCTGTCGAAAAAATTTGGACAGCCAAGTTTGGCTTTCAAAAGCTGATTGTTTTTCTGTAATTTCCCTGATAAATCAGCTATTCTTCTGAAAATTTGTTATAATTTGACACTTTTTCATAATGGATTATTTTTTCCTAACAAACGGTGTTTGCAGGAAAATCGACCCCGCCGGTGAAAACAAAAAAAAATAGATGCGGATTGAATTGTTTTGTTTATTCTACGAACCATTAGCGATCATCGCGTGATTTATTGTTATTTTCTAGTTTAACCTCATATTCGTATTATTCAAAAATGTTTTCTTTTTTTTTCTCCTCTTTTTTCCTCGTTATTTGTGTTTGTGATCAATAATTAGAAAGCCGCCTAGATAGTCTTGAATTGCGTTTAGATCATCATTCATATACAGACAATTGCGAAGACGAAAATGAAACCAATTCATTGTAGTCAGCTTCAAAATGACATATCCATGCAATTGATTAAGCTATAATATAATAGTATATTTTTTTTTGTTTTCTTTTTCTTCCATTTTTGTTCTACTCATCCACCCCAATCAACCCGATATATATACACCACACACCCACCACACCCACACAAATAATCATCATTGTTTCTACGGATTTTCTTGTTTCAAATGTGTTCCTTTCGTTTCGTTTTTCTTATGATGAGTGTCTACGATTAATCAACTATTACGGTGATCAATTTGTCTTTTTCATTTTCTTTTTGTTTCTTTCTTCTCATACATTTTATGTGTTCTCTCTCTCTCTCTCTCTCTCTCTTACTCTCTGCGAAATTCCATTCAAAACCCTTTCCCTCAATTTAAACTGCCTTTCTTTTATTTTTTTTTCTCTCTCTCTATCTCTTGCTTTCATTTAATATTATTATTATTGTGTGTGTCGTTTTTCTTTTTCATTTTCTTTCACCTTAATAATTCCCACCATTTCCCTGTAATAATAATTTGTTATCCCCGCCCCGCCCAGACTTCCTTGAAATTCGTGTAGTAATCGCTCAGAAGATGCCTTTTTTTTATGGAGTAATTAATGTTTTCAAAATGCGCGTTTGTTTTGTTCAAAAACATTGTCTCCGCCCACCCAATACAATATGCTGGTCATTATAGTTTATTATCTATATTATAATTATATTATGAGCTGTGTACTATTCTATTGTCTCTCTGAAGGAAATCCGCCTATTATTATTTTCATTTTTGTTTCTCCTTCTTTTGTCGAGCAAAACGGGTTGCTGAATTCAAACGCAATTTTTTGGTTGATTTCTTCATTTTTTGCTTTCTCCCACTCAAAATTCTTCCTCTCTCTCTCTATTTTTGTTTCCTTCTTTCATTTTTTTTCTTATTCGATTTTTCTTTCTTCCCGTTCTTTTTGCTCTTATTATATTTGGGGGCCTCGAGTATGTTGTATTTAATTGCGTTGTGATGATTTGTTTTATAACCGAAATAGCAAAAAATGAAGAAATTCGCTTCTGTGTGTGTCGAATTTGCGTAAAGTATGAAATAATGAGTATTCATATTCATATTTGTTCTCACACCTAAAAATAAGACTGAATTAAATTGTTTATGTTGATTTTTGATCTTGACTTTAATTATTATTTATAGAGCCACAAAAATCAGAAAACCGACAGAAAAAAAACGATATTTTAAAAAATGAACACGAAACGAATGAACGGATGAGATGTCGACTACCACTTTCTGATTTAAACGAATTGCGAAAAGCGAGGCAGATTTGGGACTCGTTTTATTTTAGATCGACAGATATTCTGGAACAAACGAGGCAATTCGTGCGTGTTTCCAAAACAAATTCATTTTTTTCACCTGGAAATATTCTTGACAATTTTATGATTCAGAATATTGCTGAAATCGAAGTTTTTAGTTTCAAGGATTTTAAAGGCAACCACGCAATGTCCCTTTAATTACCAAATTTCATTTCTTTTCGAATTAAATAGTTTCGTTTTCAGTCATTCGACGCCGAGAATATGTATAGTCAATTAATCAATCGGTACAATTAATGAAGGGAATTTTCAAGATAGTTAGCCAACAAATATAAATTCGAATTTCAACTATGTGCCATCGAAATACTTTTCTATCGATTGTTTCTCTTTTCTTTGAATAATTAACAACGAAAAAAATAATTTCATCTGACATTTATAGATAAGCTGAATTCACTTTTTGGTTATACATATATGTAAAAAATTGGTTATATATGTACATGTATATATACTTTTCGAAGCGTATTTTTATTTGGTGAGGTTTAGTTGCATTTCTCCCGATATTTTTCAACCTTTTCAAGTTTACCCTTCCCAATAAATTTCTCTCAATGTTTTTTCTATGACATTATTGGGGCTTTCAGTTTGAAAATGTGTTTGCCCTTATCAATTGAATTTTTCCAGAAAATAATTAACTATGAGTTCTAGAGAAACATGTTGTGTTTTCGTGACATTTCCAAAAAAAATCGAAGGTGTTTCGGTTTGAAATGAAATATTCAAAAGGGCAGATGCCCAATAAATAAACTTTTATCTTGCATCTGTGTGAAATGGCAAAATCAGAAATAGAGGTTTGAAAATGATTTAGTGTAAACTTTCGATATTAAAATTCGTTCTTTTCATTATTCCAGCTGGTTTGAAATCGCAATTTCCGTTAAAAACGTTTGCGCTCGACTTGTTTCTCTGGGCGGATTTGAGTTGTTTTCAAATGTCCAGCATTTCTCGAATACATCATTCTTACATCACCCAGATTACTTTGTCCAGTTTTGAATATTCTCGTCATCATAAAAAAATCTTATCGTAATCGACTTATTCTAAACGATAGTGACACATTCATGTGTTTCGCGTTTTTTCGAAATTTGAAGTTTATATTTTTTGTAATTTATGCTGTTTTATAGTTCGTCGAACAAAAAAGTTTTGTCTATTTTCTAATTTCTAGACAATTCAATGTATTTCGAAATTGTCTAAAATGTTATTCCGTATTTCCTGAATATCGATATGAATTGTTGAGCAGACTGCTCGAAATACTAGAAAATTGCTCAGCGAAATTTGGGACTGTTTGAGGTGAGCTGTGGGCTGTCGCGCACCTCAACCCTCGGCCGACAATGCCCTGTGATTGCCCTTCTTCGTGCCTTGGTTGCCCTATTCTGCCCCGATTTTCCCCAGGCTAACCTCGCTCAGAAGAACCCTTTCCCCTCAGGGGCGACCTGCTCGAACGGTGTTCTAACAAAAAGCCATTTAGAAATGATGTATTCTTCTTTTAATAATTCTTAAACGAATCCTCAAAATCTTTTCTTTTTTCAAATGCAGAATCTCTTGAATCACTTTTGCTGAAGAAAACCCTCAGATTTTTGATCACCTAAAAAAGTCGGAAGTTCCAATCAAAAAGATGATGTGTGTATAAATGGGCATAGTTGGAAAATACGAAGTTTGTACGAGTCTGAGTACACGGTTTGCTCTTTCATCTTTTAATCGTCTATTTCGTTTTAAGCCTGATTTGATGGGGTCAATTCGGTTCGATTTCACCCATTACTCGGCCCCAGTTCGCCCCACAATCATTTCTTTTTTATATTCTTTAATATTCAAAACTAGACAAATTGATTTTCGAATTTCTATGTTTGTGCTCATCGGCTCAAAAAATCAAAAACCATAAAAATGTGGCATTATGCCCCGCCGGCGAATACATTTGTATGCAGGAATGACGAAAAACAATCGTTGAGGCGTCAAAAATCGCATTCAAATATTTCGAGATTGTTTTCTTTTTCTTTTTGGATGCCTTCAAATTTACATTTCATACTAGATCAAAATTACAAGCTCATAGAAGTAAAAATTTAATCAACGTCTTCAATTCTTGATAATAATCTGAAATGAAGACAGTAGTGAGAAGCTCGCAAACTCAGTTGGGTCTTATTTTTAAAGACCATATCATTTCTTACTTCAATATCTACAAAAATCCCAAAATTTATTTTTTTTGTCCTTCGATGTGCTTCAAAATAAATTGATAGATCGACACAAATCACATTTTTCGGCACTTATTTTAAGTGTTCGAATAGAATAAATAAAAACGTTGGCCGATCGAAAAAATTAGAACACGATTATTCCAAAAAATACAATTTTGGAAGCTCCGAATTTGAATCTATCGAAAAACAATGGGTCGTCCGTCGTGTTTTCCTTTCGATTTTATTTGCTGCCACAAGATTTTCAAATAGTTTTCATTTATCGAAACGCCGCCGCAAAAAGCATTTCTCGGTTTTGTTTTATGGCTGAGACATCGTGTAAAAGGCCAATCTTTTTTCCCTCAAAGTACACATTTTGCCAATTACGTGCAAATGTGCCCCCAAAATGAACTTGCGATTAGCCTCATGAAAAGAGTTTTTGATGTGCAAAAATTGGAATCGAATTATGTGTGCCGTCCAAATTTTTTCTCTTTTTTGTTGGGAAATTCGGTTTAATTTTAAACTATTATGGTTTTCTCAGAGCAATTCTCGCAATGCAAAAAAAAACGAAGTCATTTTTTCAGAAAAAGCTGTCTCAGGTATTGTTGAAAAATGACAAATGTATCCAGGTGTCGTAGGATCCTGCGTTTTGTACGCAATGCTAAGAGACAGTTACCGTAATCCTCGCAGCGATTTACGGGAACTTTTTTTTAATTTCGCATATTCATTTTTTTTTATTTTTCGTTCAATTTTTTTAATTTTCTTTCGAAATTTTTTAATTTAAATTTTTAAATTTTGCAGAAACCGAGTTTAATAATGTATTTAGCAGAATAAGC